TTTTAATATAATATCAAAATTATCAAAATTTTAATGATAGTCATGAGTTTAAATTTTGTTATTTTTATTTATTTAATAAAATTTAAATATAAAATAATATAATTCTATACAAAAATATATACTAAAAAATAATATAAATTATATATTAAAATCTCATTTAAGTTAACTATTAAATTTCTTTAACTTTACCATTAAAACAATTATTTTCTTGACATTGTTTTATTTTTGTTATTTTTATCTTTATATCTATCTATCCATATTTTTTTTTTGTTTCCTTTTCAGGTGTGGCTATTGGAGCTGGATGGCAGGCTGTTGTGGCCTATGTAAACATTGCGTGTTACTATATATTTGGGATCCCTTTGGGTCTCATATTGGGTTTCAAAGTCGATCTAGGAGTTAGGGTTAGTCAAACTACATTTTCTTACTTTATTCTTTGCTTTGATAAATTTATCAATTAAACACTGACAACTGACACTATCAATTATTAATGGTTGGTGAGTTTCAACAGTTCATATATATATATATATATATACACATGCTATTCAAATCTAAGTTTTGATCCGTTTTGTTCAGGGGATTTGGTATGGAATGCTATCAGGGACTGTCCTCCAGACTTTGATCCTCTTCTTGATAATTTATAAAACAAATTGGAACAAAGAGGTATGTTCAATGTTAAACTTTCCCAGCAGCTGCTTCAAGCACTCCCAGTCCTTGTGTTTAGTCGTTTTACTCTTTCATGAATACACACATCTTATATATTCTGCATGCAGGCTTCTATTGCTGAAGACAGAATAAGAAAATGGGGAGGGGACACAGATATCAAAGAAAACAACGTGAAAAGACTTACAGAGACTTGAAGTAACAGAAATATATTTTCAGATTTTGGCCAAGTTCAAGGTGAAGAGGGACTCAATAAATTATTAGGCAAATCTTCTTTTCTTAGTGTTATGTTTTCATACAACGACAATGGTTGTATATGGTCACTCTTTTAGCTTTTCCTTTCTTTTCAATTAAGTTCACCTTTTGTTCTCAACTCTTTAAGACTATGAATAAAATCTTAGTTGTTGAAAAAAGGAGAACAATTCTTGACTATATGAAATAAGCGTTCCTTCACATTTCCCATGTTCGGTAGAACAACCAGGGGAATAGATGTTTCTACTTTCGCAATCTAATTCTAAACTCGGAGCCGAAGTTGATGCTAAAAATGGAGACCTTGAGTTCGAATTCAATGTTTTGTTACGTTGCGCTTGCAACCTGGTGCGATCATTTTACTAACTAATAATGAGATGTGTTCGAAGGAGAGGACAGGGGGATTGGGAGCTTGAGAAAGGTTGGGAATATTTTAAACGAGTTGAAGTGTCTTAGAACAGAATTAAAAAGAAAAAGAAAAAAAAAAAGAGAGAAAACAATAGCAGAAAAACAAGTTTAAAAGGACTGGTTGATCCGTGAGGAGAACCAGCAGCTATCTTTGTTGTGTTCATGAAAAACAACAAAATAGTAAGTATCTAATTAGACTCAAAGAAGGAACAAGACGTCCTGCGTCTAATCTTCCAATTCTTGACCGTTGTTCCTTCAAAAGCATTCGGAACACAAGTATCATTTGAAAATCCGGTTTTTAACTTCCGAAGAACTAATTTTCACTTCGAACAACACGAGTTCACCAAATTGTGTATTAGAGGCATTTTCAACATTATGTAAAGAATTTTTTAGAATTTTTGCATGGGACATTGAGATAAATTATGTGTAAATTTTTTTTTTAAAAGAGTTATTATCTAATTTTATGATAGTATAAAGGGGCATGTTTGCACATCTAATTATTTGTATTTATTAGTTATTTTATTGAAATATTATTTCTTAATTTTCTATAAAATAGTCATTTTTAATTAAATTAAATAATAATATATCAGTCCAACATCTATAACAATTGTTTTCCTTAAATAATTTTTATATACAAGTATTTTTTCTGCTCTCCAACCTCAAATTCTTAAATCTATTCCTGGCTATATTCTTCGTTGAATGTCTAATCAATCTACCTGCACACTCATTTTTATAAAAAATAAAAAATAAAAAATTGTCATTCACCAACATAAATTATAATTAGAGATCCACATAAAAAATAAGGATAATAAATTTAAAGAAAGTACACATTTGTTTAATTAAAAAAAAAAACTAAAGAGAATAGGATTTTAATGACTAGTTGATAATTAAATTGGACAACCTACGTACGATGTTTTTTATTTTTTTTTCCCAACCCAAAACCCCATTTCCTCTCATTTAAGAGAGCGTAGTTGAACTAAACATCTATTGGTTATTGAACTACTGAATTGCCCTTTCATTGGGTTTTTTTTACCTTCTATAACCATGAAAGAAAAAGGCTATCAATGGTGATTAACTACGAAATATTATGGAGTAGAATTACAATAACAAATTGAAAGATTAGCAGTATCACTGTGCGTGGCTTAATAAGAAAATATAATTACTAATTATTAATTTACTATAATTCGTTTATGGAAGCCCGATATAATTGGCATAGAATCCAAACAACAAACAGTATACGAGAGTTGCCTATTACCTTGCTGGGCAACTGTTGATCAGGATTTTCCTTTCTATAAAAAACCCAGTTTTTAAGGTAAATAATAACAAATCACATGACCATGTCTCAACTAAAAATCCGACAACATTAAACCAAGGAAATGAGTTAATATGATAGCTTGATTTATCATCAACCGGTCCATAATGTTCCTGATACCCTAGTTTACTTAGATTGGATGGACACGATGTAAGCAACGCATGGATTGCTTCACTATGTAATTTCTTTCTGAAAAGAATAAGCCAAAAAAAAACATATGCCAGTGTTGATATAATTAAGCAAAAAGTACGGATTGTTATTTACTCCTATCCTTGTTTTTGTTGCCTTTGTGTGTATAAAAGGGTCTCTGATTTGAGAGTTTATCAGTACTCGTTGCAATTATCCTTTAACAAAAGAGATCGATCACAGCTAGCTTGTTTGAGAGAAAGTTTGTTCAAAATTAATTTAAGAGAAGAAGATGACTACTAACCCTACCCCATTGATCGTCTCTTTCGGAGAGATGCTCATTGATTTTGTGCCTGATGTTGCTGGAGTTTCATTGGCAGAGTCTGTTGGCTTCATCAAAGCACCTGGTGGCGCCCCTGCTAATGTTGCTTGTGCCATCACCAAGCTTGGTGGAAAATCTGCCTTCATTGGCAAGGTAAATCTCTTGCTCCTGGCTCGTTTGTGCACTATGCAAGGCACTTACATTTCACCATCTGTTTTGTGATCCTTCAGATCGTGAGATTTGTACACGTTTTTTAGACATCTTCAAACAAAAAAAAAAGGAAAGAAAGAAAAAAGAAATATGTTAAATAAAATGTAATGATTTTCATGCAAGAACATATGGATCTTAAAGAATAATAATGTACCATGATTATGTTTTTAATATGATAGGTTGGAGATGATGAGTTTGGCCACATGCTAGTTGACATCTTGAAGAAGAATGGTGTGAACAGTGAAGGCGTGTGCTATGATCCACATGCCAGAACTGCTTTGGCATTTGTGACCCTGAAGAAAAATGGAGAGAGGGAGTTCATGTTCTATAGAAACCCTAGTGCTGATATGCTACTGCAGGAATCTGAGTTGAACATGGGTCTCCTTAAGCAGGCCAAGGTATTCCACTACGGATCTATAAGTTTGATATCTGAGCCATGCAGATCGGCTCACTTGACAGCCATGAAAGCCGCCAGGGAAGCTGGGATATTGCTTTCTTATGATCCAAATGTGAGGCTGCCTCTGTGGCCGTCTTCTGATGCTGCTAGAGATGGGATCAAGAGCATCTGGAATGAAGCGGATTTCATCAAGGTAAATCTACCTAAAATCGTTCCTCCAAATTATTTAATATGTCACAGTTTAATCGAGTTATCTTTTAGTTTTACCCAAAAAAGAAGTCTCTTACTGAGGAATTCTTTTCTTAAGAAAAGCTGCCTGGATAATTATGTTGATAAAATCCAAAGCTACACACATTGTTCAACTAGATGTTATAAAAACCAGTAACAGCATAAAAACAAATTGGACCCAGATCCTCATTGTCCCAATTTTCTTTTGTGTATTGAGCATGGGGTCGAAAGCAAAGTCAACGACTTCGTGGTTTTTCAGCCAAGGTATTGAATGATTTAGCTGAAGAAAATCAATTATATTCCCTTAATTCCTTAACTCAGATCGTTTAGTCTAATTTTCTATTTTAAACTTATGGATTCAGGTATTTTAACGTTTACATCTTATCATCTCTATTCTAAATAATTATTTAATTAAATTAAAAAAAAACTAATAATTTTTCAAGTTTAAAAAGATTGAAATATGTTAGAAAATAATATAAAAACAAAGATTTTATCAATTTATTGAAATGAAATTTGATAGTTGTTTGACATTTATTTATATGATCTTGAGTTGGTGCCACAGTTACTTTTATCCACTGATCAATGATTTGGTAGCTCATACGTACATAGTTAAGATCAGCTATATATCTTATTGCTTTGCTTTTAATTCTTCTTTTTTCAAGTAACTGAATTGCTTGCTGTTACATGACGCAGGTTAGTGATGATGAGGTAGCATTCCTGACACAAGGGGATCCCCAAAAGGAAGAAGTGGTCCTGTCCCTCTGGCATGATCGCCTCAAGCTACTTGTTGTCACCGATGGAGAAAAGGGTTGCAGATACTTTACTAAGGCACTGTTTTTGTCTACATATTTCTTAGTCCCGTTTCTGATCTCTTATATGCTTTGTTTTGCGCCTCATAATTTCTTGAATGATCGTAATTCATCGCTATAATCTAAGGTATTTCCATTTTCGCCTCATTGTTTGATAATACGTTTTTTGCAATGCGCAGAGTTTCAAAGGAAGTGTGCCTGGGTTTTCAGTGAAGGTAGTTGATACTACTGGAGCTGGTGATGCTTTTGTTGGTTCACTTCTTTTTTCTGTTGCCAAGGATACCTCAATTTTTGATGTACTCTCTTTTCCTCCCCTCTTTTCGATTTAGCAACACTTTACCCCTTTTCTGTTTGATTTGGAATTAATCTTATAACTCAATTATCCTTGCATTTGGTATGCAGAATGAAGAGAAACTGAAGGAGGCTTTGTCATTTGCAAATGCATGTGGAGCCATTTGCACCACTCAGAAAGGAGCAATTCCAGCCCTGCCTTCTGGTTCTGATGCTCTTGCACTTGTGAAGTCCAAGGCCAACTAGATGTTACGTCCCTTATTTTCTTGGGCCCAAAACTCTTGTCCAAGAGATGCACTTAGTGTATTTCTTCTTTTAATTTTCGATTTCTCTGCCGTTGCAGATAATCTCTGTTGACCGTTCTGTCTACATCTTTAAAAGTTTATGGTATGCCGTTCTTAATAAATTTGTTTTGATTAACTAAATTAGCTATCCCTCCTCAACCTTTCACTAGCAAAGTGCAAAGCTGAAATATTTTTTATTCGATATTGGAACCTCCCATCTTCATCCTCCCATGGTGACTTTTTTTCATGCCAAGATATATATTGATCACAACTCATTAGACCCATGGTATATTTCAATACAAACAATATACATTGAATTAACCACTTAATTTATGGGATCTTTTGTCTTTTCGTTGGAGGAAAATAATGACCAAATTTATGTTCTACCTTGTAAATTTAAGATAGGAAGATGAAATTAAAAGAAAAAAAAATCTTTTAAAATTTTAAGGATAGTAATGTTAATATGATGGTTTCGAGTAACTCCAAACTTCATATGCTGACAAGAGGTTTAGGTTTGCAAACATGAAATTATAATTATTATAACAGTATTATGATGTTTAATAGAATGTATGGCAATGGGTTTATCGTAAAAGACAGAACACCAAGAAACCATGTCAGCTGGGCTCCTCTTTTTTCACGTTATCATTGTCGATGGAGGACTGTACAGTTAACCAATTCCAGGTGAAATTAGAAAGGAAGTTGATTTCCTTTCTGCCAAGTCTATGATGATTCAATCAAGGCCAACTTGTTTGATGAAATGTACATGGTTTTCTACAGGAAAAAGTACATAAACAATGTAATAGATAGGTCACTCGGCGTAGCGGTTCAATACGAGAGCTTGAATGAAATAGAAACCCATTGTGAATCTAGTGCGTTATTCAGCAGTAGCATGAGATCAAACACGTGCAAGATTCTGCATTTATTTTCTCGAGACAAGTACTTAATAAAACCACAGAACCTGAGATGTGGAGGTGAGGGGGTTAAAGGAGGAAGGCAAAACAGGATTACAGAATAGCAACAGAGTCAGAGTTCGCAGGGAAGAGCTACCATACAAGAAGTTATCGAGAGGAATTTTAATCTCTGTTCAGAGCCTGTCAAGGAATCGGCATCATAATTTGCAGCATGTTTAGCATGTTACACCAAAATAAACAGAGCAGTCTCACATGTCAGGATGACAGAGAGTCTCTGTTCCCCAACACCAAACTGGCCTTCTTCGTTGTTGTGAAGTCTCATATGGAACTTCAGTCACACAAGCAACGATCTAGTGCAAAGCGCAAATGGCCTTCTTCTTTGGACTAATTAGCTAGAT